GGCAGTTCTGCTGCTCTATATACACATATGGACATTGTTAACAAAAACAATGAAAAAAATAAATAAATTATATATATAAAATTTACACCTGATTGTAAATTTGTACAAGACAGAAAAGAAAAAGTAAATAAATAAATAAACTGGGTTTTGTATATACAGTTACCGGTGATTGCACATAGAATTTAGTATTACACAATGGTGATTTATGGAGGGAACTGGAAAAATGTGGGGGTGGGGCTGTGCTATCGGTGCATGTGTTAGCTCAGGGTGGTTATGGCCTTTGGAAAGAAACTGTTCTTGAGTCTGTGGGTCTTTGTGTTGATGCACCTGTAGCGCCTCCCTGAGGGAAGCAGGCTGAACATGTTGAAACCAGGGTGGGAGCTGTCCTTGATGATGTTTGCTGCTCTGCTGAGGCAGCAGGAGGAAAAAATGTCCATCAGGGAGGGGAGAGGGCAGCTGATGAGCTTCTGTGCTGCCTTAACTACATTCTGAAGCCTCACTCTACCCGCCTTAGTGCAGCTGCCCTACCATACCGTGATGCAGTTAGTTAGCAGGCTCTCAATGGATGAGCAGTAGAACATCAGACGCCCGCTGAGATGTTGTCTCTTCAGGAGATGTCAGCAGAGATGAGGACACCAAGGAACTGGAAGGTGTGGACTCTCTCCACACGCTCCCCGTTGATGTAAAGAGAGGCTAAGTCAGTGCTGTGCCTCATGAAGCCGACAATGACCTCTTTGGTTTTCTTAGTGTTCAGTGCCAGGCTGTTCTCTGAACACCAGGCTGCCAACTTCACGACTTCCTCTCTGTAGGCTGCCTCGTCTCCCTTTGAGATTAGGCAGCCTACCGTGGTGTCATCAGCAGACTTGATGATGAGATTGTTGTTTTGGTTTGAACTGCAGTCGTGGATGTAGAGAGAATACAGGAGGGGGCTCAGCACACAGCCCTGTGGGGAGCCGGTGATCAGTGTGCGAGTGGAGGAGAGATGAGGGCGGAGTCTTACAGTCTGGGGCCGGTTTGTGAGAAAGTCCTTTATCCAGGCGCATGTGAGAGGCGGGAGGCCAAGAGTGACCAGTTTGATGATGAGGACGTCTGGGATGATTGTTTTACTGGGACATGCATGTTCTAGGGGACTCAGCACAGAGTGGAGGGCGATGGCGTCTTCTATGGATCTGTTTGCACGGTATGCAAACTGGTGGGGGTCGAATTCTGGGGGAAGGTAGTCCTTGATGTGCTGAAGGACTAGTTTCTCAAAGCATTTCATGATTACCGGTGTGAGGGCCACAGGGCGGTAATCGTTCAGGCTGGTGATGGGAGACTTCTTCGACACTGGGATGTTTGTTTCTGATTTTAGACAGGATGGGATGGCTGCCTGATCCAGTGAGAGGTTGAAGATGAGGGTGAAGATGAGGGTGAGCTGGTGGGCACATGCTCTTAGCACCTTGCCAGGTACTCCATCTGGCCTTCCTGGGGTTCACTGCTAGGAGCACATGTCTGACATTGTGCTCCGCTACAGTGAGTGGAGCGGTGCAGGAACCAGGTGAGGATGAGAGCAGGGCTGAAGCAGATGAGTACTGCTGTTGTGGCATTTCAAAGCTGGTGAAGAAGCGGTTTATTTCCTCTGGCAGCTGTACATTCAGTGCACTGTTTTCACAGTGCTGCCTTTGTGGTTTATGTCGTCTTGTATGCCCTACCACACCTCCTGTGTGTTGTTGCTCGACAGCTGGGACTCGATGCTTCTTTTATGGTCTTTAAATTCCTCTTTTCAGATCGGCTCAAGGAGTGATCGAACCTGGCCCGTTTTGGTTTTGGGAAAACCCGAATGCTTTTGTCCACAGTCACATTTCCAATACAGAACTTGATGTAGTCCAGTAATAATAATAATAATAATGGATTGGATTTATATAGCGCTTTTCAAGGCACCCAAAGCGCTTTAAAATACCACTATTCATTCACACACTGGTGGAGGCAAGCTACGGTTGTAGCCACAGCTGCCCTGGGGCAGACCGACAGAAGCGAGGCTGCCATAGCCCCAGTACTGATTCTGTGAAAGTTTCTAGGTTCTGATATTGAAATATGTCCCAGTCTGTCTGTGTGAAGCAGTCCTGCAGTTTGGAGAGATCATTTTCAGGCCAGGTTGTAACTGTCTTTGTGGTGGGCTTGGTACTGCATCTGAGGGGGGTGTAGGCTGGGGAGAGCAGGAGGGAGAGGTTTTCGGACTGGCCAAGGTGGGGGGAGGGATGTGGCATGGAAACATTCTTAATAAAAAAACTAGTTCAAGCACATTTTGTTCATACTACTGTACTATATTAGTACATCTGAGTTATTGTGAACCAAAGAAGTCTATACCAGCTGCATAAAACTGCTTACAGAGCCATTTCTACACCTTTATCACCACCACTTTCTCTGATTCACTTGTAAGTAAAATTAAATGTGCTTGCACCTCTAGGGCAGGAAAGCAGAAGGGAGTCAGACTGAAGAAACCGAACAGTTGTGCTTGATTTTATGATCTATCGCCCACTTAAACTATTACTTCTGTTCAGGAAAACACATAACTTTAATTTGGCATCTTAAAACATGGATAACAACAAAATGACAAAATATATTTTAGCAATAAAATTATCAGCTTGATTAAAGAGCTTGTACCTCCTGGTGGATTAACAATTACAGAAACAGGGGGCTTGGGTCCTGGTTGGTGTGTTGCCGGGGTTGTGGGCGGGTGGGTGCATGGGGGCCCA